TCTGATTTTTGTGAGAAACTTTTCGATGCGAAGAAAACGTCGGACAAAAAAGTTCCCGGTTTATGAAATGATCGCCTCATTGATTAGTATCTACTCTGAAAGTTCCACCTTTCTATCATTTAAATTAGAGAAATTCCAGAAATCAGGTTTTCGCTGGGACACCAAAATTGTTCCCCACTCTGAAAGTTTCTTTCGATTCGGATGAAGTCGATGTAGAGTCTGGTACACTCTCGAAAGAATAACCCGTTGACGCACGCAATGCAGTACGGCTCTATAGTGTGCAACCGTTCATCTAACTCCAAAAAAAAAAACTTTTCTTTTCAGCGAGAAGCTCCAGGAATTATCGGCGGTATTTTAGTTCCGTGACAATTAAGAAAAGTCGTTGATTTCCCGATGCTTCTTACTCAAATAATAAACACAAAAAGAGTCATAATCATCAATCCACAAAGAATTTCTTGATTTCTTGATGTGCTGTTTATTTCTTGTGACTATTTATTTAATATTTTGAAACAGATGTGGCTGTAGGTGTGGGTATGCGTGTTGGGAAAAGATGACAGTCACATCTTCAGATGGTCATTATGATTTCATACATCAGTAATTTCTATGTTTCTACCTGTATAAGTAAACGAGAAAAACTAGAATACAAGCAGAATGAGGAGAAAATCATTTTTTGTCGGACACGCTGTTACTGTAATATGTCATACAGAAAAAAACTGCTTTTTTTATGTCGATAATTGTCATTGAACGTTGTTGATTGTTGTTAAATGGTTTTAGATATGCGGTTGCAAGTGTTGGTGTCTATGAAAACAAATTCAACGCAAACGCGCGCAACGATACCTTCATTTTCTGCTACTCATAAAAGGAAATTACACTTGAAGGTTATTTCATTTTTCATGTTTATCCAAATTAACAAATATCTACATTTGTTATGGATCTTGTTGAGTATAAATTGAATACTTTTCAGACGTTGCTGTATAGTAATTACCGAGTTTTAGCACCTATTTTCAAGTGTTTTTCATCATTTTCAAGATTTTTTTTGAATAAAATGTATAAGAACGCATTTCAAACTGTGTGCCAAAGATTGAATTGTATTTTTCTTATGGTGTTAGAGAATTCATTTTGATTTTATTGAGTTGTTTACATAAGTCAGCCGAATATTACTGAATGCTTTTATATTGTTCAATTGTACTCACGCATTTTTGATTATTTTTCGACTTACGTTATCTATTTAGACGTATTTTCAAAATAAAAATGCTTACGAAGCTATTTAAATCATATATAAACGATTAGATTAAATGTTTCTGCGGGTGTTAGTGAAAACAAGTTGAGTGCTATTGAATTGATAATGCGAGTATCGCTATGAATGAGCCAAAAAGCCGAAGGTCGCAATCACCCACACCCTAAATCCCAAACATGCTAGATTAGCATCAATAGCAGTGATAAGAAAAAACAAAAGAAAATCATAGGCAATCAGTGTAAAGACTAATGAGGGACATTTTCTGATCAAGTCGTGCTTACAAAGACTTGAAGTCAGATTTCTTAGTTTAATTTTTAAATTATACAAGTACACAGTTAGAACATTTTTCAAAATTTCGTCTCTTGAATAGTTTCAGTTGTATATTTTTGAAAATCTGCTGGTTTCATTCTTGGTGTATCTAAATATAAAAAATTCTTATAGGTTTAATTCTATTTTTTTGTGAAATTAAAAAGAAAAGTAATTCTTCACTCATTAAGAAGAAGAAAGAAAAGTCGCTGATTAATACAAGTATATGATAACCAATCAGGGTGGGTGTGGGTGTGGGTGTGGGTATGGGTGTGGGTGTGGGTATGGGTGTGGGTGTAAGTATGGGGGTTGTTCTTGTGGACACTCGTACCCGCATGCACACCCACACCCACACACGCCCACACCCAAACCAGCTTTGGAGTTTTCACTGCTCACTATTCCGTGCATGACAAAAATTATCTGAGTCGAAAAGCGATTTATTACCTCGCGAGGTTCCCGCGTTAAATGCAATCTATCTAATAGGAAGCAGCGTGGAACAAGGGACCACGATAGGAAAAAAATTCTTTTAATATAAACCATCTTATTTCTATAAATATTTATTCATGTATTGTTAAAATAAATATTTAAAAAGTGTTAGTTTAATACTAATTTTGCTCTCAATATATAAAAGTTGAGAATATGGTAAAAATTACAAAGTTTTTTTTAAAATGCTGCGATGTTAAGATTATTTTACTAAAGCGAGGTTGCTAAAGTAATATATTCCCGGATACTATGTTAGTATTAATTGTAGCTTGAAGTACAGTTATATCACAAGCATAAGCATAAAGCATATGCACAAATTGTTGACAGTTCATTTTATCATTTACCATTCCTAACTCGTACGGGACCAGAAAATAAGACTTTGTAGATCTGTTACATTTTACAATCAATTCAGAGTGAGTTTTTGTTGAATTTCCAATTAATCGAATCCATTCAAAGCGATTTATATAATCTTGGTCTTCAGTTGTATTGTATGCACCATTTGCTTTTGCACTTTCTTTTTCATCTACTGTTATTTCATAAAGATGTCCATTGATCATTATTGACCAATGAAATAAATCAAATCCAGGAGCTACTGTACAACCAATTCGTGAATTTTTTAATGACTTCTTACCAAGCCAAATGCCCTCTTTTTGATCACTGAATGCGGAAACGGTGTTGACAATAATTCTTCTTGGCCATGTTAAAGGATTTAGAACTCCAATATCAAAATGATTGAACATTGTAATAAAAAATTGAGTTAGATTATTTGTTGATTAAAATAAATCTAAAAAACTGCTTCACAGAACAAAAAGAGAAGAAATCTTTGACTATATTCGTAGCTGTTCGTTCCTTCTTTCTCGTTTGACAAGCATTCAGATAGATACAGCCATTTACTATATATATTTTAAGGATAATCTTTCTCAATTGTATCCCGTGAAAACAAAAATTGCAGCACAATGCTGAATCAACCATTTGACAATCAAAAAATAATATAAATTATTTTTGCCATAAATTATTTTGTCTCGTCACACATCATTTCACAGGTACTATGCCTATGTTGTAGGCAATGTGAGAATTTAGGGAAACTTGAAATCAAACTGGGCAAAAGAGAGATCACGAAGAATAAGTTAACAAAAACGATCCAAAAACGGACCGAAAATGTAGTAAAAACGGAGTATTTACGACTGTATACAGAGCCAATACGATCCATTTTCGGTCCGTACTATACCGTATTAGCGAGCACAGAAATAAGCACCGTATATTGTCGAGTCTATGGTCTTTTATATTTGAAAGAGAATTTTGGAGAAAAATCGACTCTCCTCCAAGGATATAGCAGGGACTAAGAGATCTAACAAAACAACATCTTTTACAACATATACAAAAAGGCACATTGTATCTCTTACAAGACCAACACGTTTTTGGAAACTAAACGATTCATCATCCTCTCTTTGTTTCATAGATTTGGCGGTAATTCTAAAAATACATTAAACCATCGAGGTATTTGACGAACTAAATCGGTTGATCAGAACTAGGCGGACTAAGAGAACTAGGAGACTAAGAGAACTAGGAGGACTAAGGGGCTAGGAGGACTAAGAGGATTAAGGGAACAAAGAGTACTAAGAGAACTAAGAGGAGTGGGAGGACTAACGGGACTAGGGGGACTAAGGAGACTAAGACGACTAGAATGACTAAGAGGACTAAGGAGACTAGGAGAACTAAGAGGACTAGGACCTAGTCCTCTTAGCCCCCTTAGCCCTCTTAGTCTCCTTAGCCCTCTTAGTCCCCTTAGCCCTCTTAGTCCCCTTAGCCCTCTTAGTCCTCTTAATCCGTTTAGTCCTCCTAGTCCCCTCAGCAGTGGGCAATAGGACCAATGAATGGGGAAATTGTTCCACTTTATGGAGAAATGGTTCACCCCACGAAAAGTCATATGTATTGAGGAGAAATGGATAAAAAAACAATGTGCTTCGATCCAACCAGAATGTCATTTCATGTGGAGGAAGGGAAAAAATGTAAACATATATATAACGCAACGAGTCATTTCCAGCTTACTAAAAATAGCTATTTTATCAAAAGAAAATTCACAATAATCAGGTAAATAAACAAGAAACAACTCTGATTTTACTCGACTTTGTTTACCATTGAAAATCGATTAAAATGAAACGAGAAAAGAACAGAATTTTTCGATTCAAATCAATTTTAAATCAAAAAAATCAACCTAATCAACTTCATGAAATAATCAGAAAAAACAAAAAAATATCATCATGTTTTTCATCCATGTCTTAGGAAATATCATTCCAAGGATGAAACAACTGAAACCAGATTTTTTTTATTTCTATAATTTTTTACCATTTCTTTTAATTTATTTTTCATTTTTCTGATTTTTCAAAATTTCAAATCAATTGATTTTAAACCAACAAAATCAAAAAAATCACTTTAATCATTGAATCAAAAAACTCCGATTTTATTTCTACCCTCCTTGGTAGAAATTCTGCTTCGAAAATAAGCATTTTCCCTACACAAAATCCGTTTCTCCTAGAGTCTGCACTTAGAATAAATCTAAAATAATCAACTTCTCTTTAAGTTTTTCCATTTCTTCTTGTGTAAGGCGAAATCAATAGACAATTTCTCCTTACATATTTTCTATTTCTACTGATAGAAATCCATTTCTACAAGAAATGATGCTTAAGATGAAAAAGAAAATCCTCTTAGTCCTCTTAGTATCTTTAGTCCTCCTAGTCCTCCTAGTCCTCCTAGTCCTCTTAGTCCTCTTAGTTCCCCTAGTCCTCCTAGTCGTCCTAGTCCCTTTAGTCCTCTTACGAGGGAACCTCTTGAAGTGTCATCCATCATTTGCGATCATATTTTTCCAATAGGTAGGATTCATAGCGTACACACAAGCCCTAGAAGGGTTCCTCCCCAGAGCCTGTTACTATTGAGATATTGTATTTTTAATGTATTGGGATAACTCACTGCCATGGTGGCTCCCTCAGGGATATCAGAAAAACCTCATTTTTGAGTTTCGGCTTAAAACATTGTATAGAGAGTGGTCATGACGGGAGTAGTTTATTATAAAAATTTCAGCTTTACTGAATGCTCCTAATTGCAACTAAGGACACCAAAACTTGCCTCAGCAAGTAACATTAGGATACCATAGCCGTATCTTAGGATAGGAACAAGAAGTAGGTCTGAACCATTCACAATAAACT